CCTCCTCCTAGGTGAAGGACACCTGTCCCTCCCACTTAAAGAGAGGGAACTCCCATATGGGATACTTTTTTATAGTTTTAATGATTTGGCTAGCAGACAGCCAACCCACTTATTTGAGTTCTAATTTATTTAAGTATTATTTGGATTAAAAAAATGCCTTCAACAATATTAAATATATGTTTGTGGGCCAGGCCTGAACACAAAACCTAGGCTCAAGCCTGGAATTTCCAGACCACACTGAAAATGATGACCCCTAACTGCATGGGCATTCTAGGTGTACTCTATAACATTAACACTTGTAAAATATGTAATGTGGTCTGTTTTTGACAAATTATACTATAAAAATATCTGCACATGTTGGAAATTTAATTAATTTGGCAAGACATAAGTCTGAAGAAATGAAGTTTAACTTCAAAAACTAGACCACATTACATATTTTTTAAGTGTTAATGCTATAGAGTACATCTAGAAGTGTCCATGCAGTTAGGTGTCATCATTTTCAGCGTGGTCTGGAAAAATGGTGCTTGCTGAGATCCATTTTGGAGTTCCTTTTGGGATGTTACAGAAGGGTCTTTGTTAAAAAGGGAAGGTGATCTAGAGCAACCTTTACTCCACTACCTGATACCAGGTTGCTTGGAACCTATTGCTTGCAGTTAACCTGAAATAAGTAAGGAACCATTTCTGTATATTGTAACTACCATATGCCCTACTCACCATTAGTAATTTTCAGGCTTTGATATATTCAAAGGCATGGAATGCTTCATTTAATTTTAAAATAAGCCATCTCTTTAGATGCTTCAGGGTGTCTTAGATTTCACATGTTTTGGAATTTGAATTTGTTCACATAGAGACCTTACTGTCAATTTAGTTGTTTGATGTCATGAATCGGATATTGTTAATTGTGTCAGGAAATGGTACAGTTGGGCACTGCAACCAGGGGAACAACATGTACCTATTCCCAGGGTGAGTTTTACCACTTGAACATTTTAGATATTAAGATATTCTCCAATGTGAATTGTTTCTTTTCTCTTTGTTGCAAGTTCCTAAAGCGAAGGTCCCACACCTGCTTTCAAAGAAAATTGATTTTAAAACAAAAACACAGAAAACATGTTCTGGTTGTGTAGTGTATTTGTTTCCAAAACTGAAAACAGAATTCACTCTTGAATTTCTCCTTTAACAAACACGTTCTCCTCTGGAAGTTTGATATCATGTTTTATATAATATTCAGATATTTTGATTGAAAAGATATTATCTCGCCTTTCTTATTTTGTATTTTAATTCGTATTCCTACTTTGCACCCTGATCCATTTAAATGTGGGTTGGTATGATCTATATAAGCTTTAAATTAGAATTTGTAAAAGGATGTACAGGAAATTTTAGTGTGCAAAAACACATGAAATAGTATATCATATCAGCCTTATGGAAGTGAAAATAGTGTTACATTGTTTTGGAAACACACATCCAAGAATATGTTTTTGTTTTTAGCCCACCTGGCATTTCTTAGAAACAAGAAAACAAAAAACATTACTGTTCAAAAAAAGCATACATGCTGGATAACACCTTCTAAATGAACTGTGCTTTAGTTTCGATCTCATTATCTATTTGATTGTGCAGGATAGGGCTTGGTACTCTTCTATCTGGTTCTCCTGTGATATCCGATGGCATGCTGCAAGCTGCTGCAGAATGGTGATTCTCATATGTAACTCGTTTCTGGATATTACTTATTGAGGCAGACACATAATATTTTAACTTTTATTGCCTTTGCTTTCTATATCATAGCCTGGCCACATATATGAAAGAAGAAGAGGTTCTCAATGGGATAATATATCCATCAATATCAAGGTAAGTATCATCTAAAACCTGCAGTGTATGCTGAGACTCAATTTTACATGCTAGCTTATGTTTTAATCTATTTGATCTATGTAGCATACGTGATATAACAAAAGAGATTGCTGCAGCTGTGGTGAGGGAAGCTATAGAAGAGGATCTAGCAGAGGGATACCGTGATATGGATGCTCGAGATCTTCAAAAACTAAACCAGGTGTTTTTCTATTAATAGAATGTGATAACCCCAACCTTTTTTTCTTTTCTTTCCTAATGTTTTTTATTTGAAACATTCTAAAGGACTCTTGGTTTAACAATATATGATCTAAATCTTATTACTCTAACTTGTCTATAAACAGCATGTTCATAGAGAATTTGGAGGCCATCCACATAGTTGGTGTCACTTTTGTATAAATAATCTATGATTTGAACCTTGTTGCTCTAACCAGTCTGTAAACATCATGTTCATACTTTATAGACTTTTGGAAAGCAATACTCACAATTGACAGTCCCACCACATAAGTGATATCTTGGTAAAAAATTCTACCCTTTTGTATGAAAAGGCTAAGCCACCTGATCTCAGAATGTTACTTGTTATATCATGACCTTCTTATCATGTTGATTATTTTTTTGTTTGAGAGGCATATTCAGTGTTGAACCTGTTATATGCATATTCCTCAATTTCTATCATTTTTTGTGTGTGATTTTCTAGCCTATATTTACAATAAAAAACTTTTACCTAAAATGGGTGAAAATTATGCTGTGTTAAATTGAAAGTTGGAACTACATGATATTTTCCTTGGATAGCACTTTGGACTGCCTATTGAACCGGTTTCCATCTTTATATTATTCTTTAAATGCCTTACTTTGAGTACCTTAAAAAACCATATTTACTCAATTGGGGCTTCAACAAATGGCACCTGTTATTTCTCTTACATTCTCATGAGTGCAGGATGAAATCGTGGCTTTTGTGAAGAACAACATGTGGAACCCAGACTACCCAACCGTGGTATACAAAAGGGATTGAGTTCAGCCAAACTATTGACCAGGCTATGCACTGCCATCTAGAAGCTTGAGGGAAGAGAAGTTTAATTGAACACATGTCCTCAAGTCCCAGCAGAGTAATGTTATATGATATTTATTATTGTGCCCAATAATAACCATTTGATACATAACATAGCAATACTGTGTTGCAGTGTATCTGTTGTCTGAACCCTGAATTTTGTAGGATTCTTCCATCAAGCAGAAAATTTTGTTTTTTTATTTAGTAATAAAAAGAAACTAATCAGACCATTATCTTTAGATAAAATAAAGGGACTCCCTTTTAATTGATATTAATACTAATTTTGGATGTTGATGATGTACAAAGCAGTTGCTAACAATCATCTGGTTGTTATTGATTTTGAATATATTTACCATCATTAGTTTAGAAAAACCAGACAACAAAAATAAAAGATGTGATCAAAACTCCTATAAATATAACTGCCATAATGAATTTAGTAGTCAAGGTCCACCAATACCGCCCCCCCCCCCAGGCCCCAACCCCAAATTAGTTTTGTTATTAAGGAATACTTTTTCCCTTGCTACAGATTTTGGTATGTTTGTCCTGATGGCTAGATTTTTTAGTTTGGCATTATGTCATGGCATCATGCCTTGAATTTCTGCTAGAAATTACTGAATTTAGGGAATGCAAAAGCAGGTTTAGCATTGTATTATTTTCGAGGTTTAGAATTAGCTATTGAACAATTGAAGGGCGTGGATTGTCCAGTTATATGTAACCTTAGCTCATTATCACTTTATTTTAGCTATATATTATCTTTTCCTACTTGCGAACGTTGAATCTAGATTGTCTTTTCCCACTTAGGAACATGTTTATTCATCAGATCTTTTTCATGTCGACTATGGGACTGTGCAGGATCCATCTTAGAATATGAGAACAAATCCTCGGAGAGAAGTACTATTTGTTAGTTATTTCTTTTTTCTAAGTGCATAGTTTGTTATATTCTTTTGGAACATTCTTTAATTAATATTTTCATGTATACTATTCCATCAAAGCTGTTAATTCCTGGTAATATTTTTATCTATGCTATTAGAATAATGCATAAATGCACCATAGAGTTATCCTGACTCTCTCTTACAAATGAAAAGCTAAATCATTGGGAACTCTCTCTCTCTCTCTCTCTCTCTCTCTCTCTCTCTCAATTATATATTAGAATTACCAAAATATTATCCTCTATCATGCACGGAAATTCCTTTGAATAAGCATTAGTGGTATAGCCGTATATGGAAATGTTGGCCAACGTTGTCCTTAAGAAATCAGGTTGTAGATTACCATATGGACATCAGGACTTGTATGCTAGTCAAGTCTATCTATTCATGTCAAACAAGCAAGATCTCTGGGCATGGAGGGATCATGTGCTTAGATATGGTACTATGTCGACAGGTGTCCAGGGCCACTGGCTTAGGGAAGGGAATGTTTACAGGGAAGGAGACACAAGATCCCACAGGAACTAGTGAGGCATCCAATCATATGAGGTGAGAATTAAAACAATTGTTCAGATGGTGATATAGGAATGTGGAAAAAATTTCTGCCTAGAAAATATTCATAAAGAAAGTAGGTTGAATAAGAAATCCAATGAATAGCAATGTGTTTCTGTACCAAATGCTGACCAAACATATATTATATATTAATCCAAATTCTATGTGCCAGCATATCATGTGTGAAAGATTTCCCACCTTCAAACCCAATTTATTTTTTATCATATTTCACCTCTCTTTTGGTAATCAATCCATCACATATTACCAAGAATTCTAGTTAAATCACAAACTCATAAAGATGAAACTAAGGTTCAAAGTATTGACATGTATCGGCCGATACGTATCGTTTCGGGAACTCCCCAATACACCTCTACAGAGGGTGTATCGGGGTTATGATCAGTTCAGGGGGTGGAGGAGCCATAAACCGGCCCCCCTGAACTGGTTTTGAAAAAAAATAAAAAAAAAAAGTAAAAAAAAAAACAATACCGGTATAGCCAGATACGACGTATCGGGTGTACGGATATTTTGAACCTTGGATGCAACTATTTTCTTAAATAACTCAAATCCATTATATATCTTACATTTTCTCATGGTTTTTAAAACAACGGTGACCGAACCGGTCAGGGGTCCGGTTACTAGTTCGAATGGTCCGACCATTCGACCCAGACGGTTGGCCCATTCTAACAAAAAAATAAAAAAATTTAAAAAAAATTAAAAAATTGGAAAACGGTCAAAACCGTTCGAACGGTTAACCGGTCAGTTCAGCGGTTTGCTGACCAAAATCAACAGTTTTGGGGAAAAAAACGGTTTTGGGGGAAAACGGAATCGATCAGGTGACCGGTTCCCGATTTTTCCAGTCCGACCATCTGGTCCGGTCCGGTTTTGAAAACCATGCATTTTCTTGAAAAGGTATTTACTACATACGTCAAAGTTTTCCACTAATAGAAGGTGAATAATTAAAAGATGAAAAACAAAACATCATAAAAACTGAAATTTATGTGATAATTGGTATATATTTATTTAGAGAACAAAACTGCAAACGAAATGGGGAGTGTACAGTGCAAATCCTTGTAATCCGTATTTCTAAATCTTGTATTTACACTTCCCAAACTGAGATTAAGAAAGAAGCAATTTATAACTCCATATGACCATGTATGTATGTATGTATTCATGCATGCATGCATGCTTTATGTATATATGTCAAGTCTATCAACGTCACAAATTAGATTTTGCAAAGAAAGTTTTCTTGCAAATTGGGAACTTAATCACTACTGTGATAGCAAGGGACACAGATGCTAAAGATCAGGATCGGTGAGAAATGGTGGGGAGGGGGATAAGCAGATAGCATCATGAACCTGAACAGGGTCATGGGTCTAGAGAGCGTACGTTGTTGACATGTGTCCGAGAGTACAGGCTTAGGGAAGGGATCAATGCTTACAGGGAAGGAGACACAAACTCCCACCTTTCCTAGTGGATTTGCAATCCGAGGTGAGACTCAAACAATTGTTCAGATGCTTCCTCTAATATTTTTCTTTTTCAGATGGTTTTCTCTCTGTCTTTCTGAAACCTGATTTGCACTTAAAAAAAGAGTTTCGTCCATTAATGAGAAACACAGAATTTCTTCAATGATTCCAATGTAATAGTTTAGGCCTAGTGAAACCACTTACCGTGGTACGTACTGGGTTTTCTGCAGGTTGTTTTATCTCCTCTGCATTCGCGAAAAGTATCTTTTCATGGATAAAGGAAACTTGGGTTTTACCAGGTTGTACGTTGAGCATTGTGTTGACAAATAATAAGCAAACAGACGAGGTCCGGCACCACCAGCTAAAGATCTATTCAAATTTCAATCCACATGCAAACGCATTCCGATACACAGGCTCCACTCCATCTCCTGAGCATGGATCCCTATATGCATACATCAATATTTTGGCTCCCATAGGACACGTGAAGACCTATGGATTGGCCAACCATATCAATGATGCATGCAGGAATCGCTCAATGGATATGCGTCCACAAGAAAACCAGAACGTTTTTATATATATCTTAATACCAAGAGATTCTATATACTCAACCCTGGTCCCAAGCTGCATTGAAACTCAAAACCACTCTCTATTTTAGCCATAAAACATGGACAAACGTAAGAACACTGTAGCGAAGCTTCTAATACTCTTGCGTTTAATTTTCTGATGAGAACGATGCCCTTAAATATTCCATCAGTAAATCTCAAGTTGCCTTGAGATGGGAGGTGTTATTATAATCATCCTTATTAGAAAATTAATTAATGATTTAGGGAAAAGTAATGTACAAGACTAGAGTCTAAAAGGGTTTAATTTGCTTATAATCTAGTGGCTAGTGGGTAAATAAGAATTAAACTTAATGCCCTCTCAGTCCAAGGCACCCCAATACTTTCTCATGTGTCATCCCTACGTTGTCTTCTCTCTCTCTCTATCGCTGTCGCAACTCAAATTAATAATAGGGAGTCCCTTTTAATGAAAACCTTTTGACATTTTTTTAACCTGCAGAAAGCCTACCTTCCGAGATTTGCTAATAGTAGTGAGTGTATTGGGTCAGGGAGCACAGGACACATATAAGGGTCTGGACCCCAATAACCTTGAGATCTGTTCAATGCTTCAAGAATCAGGACCGACCATTGAATGGTCAACAAATTAAAAGTCATGAGTGCACTAAACAATCAATACACTCAGATGACATTTAACCATCTGCTTTCTTCATTAGTTGTGGAACTAATTTTTTGCCTCCAGGAGCCTGATTTCTATCCCAGCTAAGTAGGGCCTATCTGATGGTGGGATCTGTTGCTTGGAATGAGGAAGGTGGGTGTGTCTCCAGACCCCAGATTTGGTACATGTTCCTTCTTTTATTTTTTTAAAAATTAATAATATTCTTAAGGACTATAAAATAGAGGTAAATACCAAAACAGGGAAGTCTGCATAGAATATGCTACAATTAGACTAATGTGTTGGTGCTTCTACTGTTACGTGTAGTTGTTTTAATTTGGTATACATGTAGGTGATTTCCACTCATCCAGTGAAGTCATGTTCTGGTCGTGTTATTTCAGTACCAGACTTCCATACTGTAATGTTTACTCCATAAATTATAATCACATAGAAAATGGAGAACAGGAGCTTGTGATTCTCACGTGCATTCAACCTTGGGATGCTTTTCTTAACTAAACCATGAGAGAATTCCAATGAGCAATCTCCCTAAATTAGTAATGTAGTATACAACGGTCATAATCACATAAAAACTTGAGAAACTGACCTCGTGCCTCTAATATGACTTCCACTTTTAGAATGTCCATATATAATAGAATGCTTGCGATGTAATAAAGTATCATCCATCCAAAGGGACCCTCATCTTGGGGTAGGAAGTTCTTTGTTCTCTTTCCCATTAATTATGAATCCACTCTCTTTCTGACCAGACCATCCTTTCATAGAGAATTGATATTCATCCCATGCGCTCCCTTTTTAAGAGAGTTGTGTTGATGTATGGTGTCTTCCACTATGTTTTGTTGGGTCGTTTAGTAGCACTTGTTCATGGGTTTTGCCATGCCCTATTCTGACTATTTACTTGTCTGAGTACATAAAATACTACTGGAGATAAGAATTTCAAATCCTCCTACCGTACTTAGTTTTTACTATTCTGTGAAAAGCCATTCATGAGTATATCCCTGTCATAACTGAGCTGGATCTATATTGATTGTAGGCCACTACGTAAAACCGTTTACCAAGGTGAGTAAGCTTAATTTAAGCTCACGCCTGACTGAGATAAAGCTAAGATTAAATTATAGGTATAGTGATGAGACCAACCCATTAACAAGGCTGTAGCTTACTATGTTTCTTTGCAGGGTTAAATAACATTTTACATGGAGGAATCATCAGAAGAACTGAGAACAGGTAGAATCTCGTTTTCCACTCAACATCCATTGACATGTAAGGTGAGTAAATTTATGAAGTTTATCTGCATTGTAAACTAGTAATAACAGGGGTAGTTTAAGTTATGAATATACTTTAATTTGCTTGGTTTTGTTATTAATTACTTCAATTCAAAATTTTGGTATAGAATGGAATACTGGAGACGATGGGTTCCTACAAAGCTCTAGAGCACTTGGACAAGGAGAAATCATATTCCTCTTCTTGTTATCATCCCCTAGAGATTCCAAAAGGCCCCTATCACGCCATGGAGTTCTTATCTCGTTCATGGAGCCCTTCTGCATCGGACTTCTTCCATATATTCCCATCCAATGTGAGAAACATCTGAACTCTAATCTATGTTTACAATATATTGAAACTTCATGCATACAGCATACGTGAAAATTGAAATGATCATAGACTATAGAGTGCTCACCTGCATTATTTTCATGGTGCAACCACAGCTTTTTACCTTTTACACTTGCTGAAATTTAAATCGAGCTCCTCAGACATGTGGAAAGCAATGAAAGGGCCACAATTGATAGTTAATTTTGCAATGGTGAAACCTCTGCTAGCTATTGTGGATACACCAAGTTTCCTTGGTCAATGGAAATTCAAATTGCAACTTAATAGTTAAAACCAATCTTATTAAAAACTTGAAAGAAGGTACATCTACATATTCAAGTAATTAAGAATAACAAGGGCTTCTGGTTTTGCAGAACTTGTTGTTACCTCTTCAGGACAATGGAAAGGAAGATGACCATAATGAGAGACTAGAAATAGAAGCAGCAGAAAGGATCTCAACTCAAGGGAACAAAGATACTGTCAAGAGAGTGGAAAGAATTTGGGTAACAAATGACTCTCTCTCTCTCTCTCTCTTTATCTATCTATCTATCTATCTATCTATCTCTATACAGGCCTACTCATTCCCACCTCATATATCAAAGTTTGACTTCAAAACAACTCCCGCCATACCCGAGCCAAAGGCATGGTATATCCCACAGGTTTCTTTTTCAAGAAAACATACTAAACCATGATTTATTTTCCAAAGTGAGAATATGTGACTTTTTCATGATATGGGAGGGCGGATTTTGGGTCTGCGAGGTGGGCCTCACTAGGACTGACGGACCCTTAGGTGCCTTTCAGCCCAAATTAGCTGCTGCCTTTCAGTCCAAAAAAAAAAAAAAGTTTTCCTATGAAGCTTCATTCCCAAACGGACCCTTAGGTAGATAAAAGCTTCTAAATTGAGTGAAAATTTTCCCAATAATATGCAAGTATTCAATTTAAAAGATTAAGAAGGATCTTTCTCACAATGCCGTAAGGGTTTATTGGGCTGAAGTTTATTACATAAATAAAGGACGGAGAATGTCCTGTCTCCCCCAAATCAAGTTACCATGTGGAAATTTCTTATTTCATTCAAGGTTCCTCCCCAAACCATTCCTTTGTGATTTAAGGGCTTCGTCAGGGCCAAGACTGTGTGGAGTGATGTGCACTTGCCTAATATAGATATATAGGCCCAGTATAAATAATACTTTATAAAATAAATAACCCCATCATCTAATAAATCTTTAGGGGTGTTTCTCCAATGTGAAATGGTTTCTTTGTTAATTATTAAAATCTTAAGAAAGCCGGGCCCTTCACATTAATGTTTAGTGTTTTTCTTTATTTTTTCAAAAATAAAACCAGAAACTTGTTCTTGAATTTCTGATTTCAAAAACATGGTTTTCCTCTTTTAGAGTTTTATATTATGTCTCATAAATCATTCATTCAACATAAGGATAATTTTATGATGCCGGAAAGGTATGATACTACAAGAACTTTGACCAATCAACCCCCCCCCCCCCAATGTTATTAAATATTTTATCATAACAAAATATTGTTGGTCCTTCTTATAACAATTTTTTTGTGAATATCTTTTACCGAGCAACCGATATTTAAGGTCACCCAACAAAGGACCAAGTTAATTAAGATTTTCTTTCTATTGCATCTTATAGTTTAGAGTCTTTACACTTCATATATATTATTGTCTTGACAGTAAATTGTTTTTCTTCTAATGGTGAATATATCTCTCAAGGAACCGTTACAGGTGTCCCTGAATAGATTTTTATTCTCTAACTATATATATCCAACAATGAAAAATCTGCAGGAAAATGCAATGCCTTCACCAAAAAAAAAAAAATTATTTTAGCAGCTACTGCTGATTATTATCTCCACCATGATTTATTAGTTATCATAATATACCAAAATTTTCATTTGAATTTTTTAAAGTGAATTAAAGCATATGAAATGGGTGAAATTAGAATTTTTCAGAAAATTCAGTTTTGAATTTTTATTTTTAGCTTGTATCAAATGACTGAAAATGAAATCTAATGAACTTATTTTGGTCTCTCCTCACAGACATGGCTTGCAGTTGAAAGGCCCCTCTCATGGTTCCTTCAAAGACAAAGATCAATAAAGAACAGCTGGGTAATAAGCAAAATGAAATATATATACTAGCTACTTTAGTTTAATTTATCTATCTATCCTTGTTCTTACTAAGATAACCATGCAATACATGAAGGGAGGATGGTTAGGGTGCAGAGAGAAGAAGAAAGAGGAAGTCCGACTGCGGACAGCCAAAATCCACGCAGCACTCTCTGTTGCGCGGTTGGCTGCAGCAGTTGCTGGATTTACAGCTGATGGCAGCTTTGAACCACTAGATATCAACCATCTTTCTAGCAAAGGTGGAGCATGGAACAAGAAGATGGATATGGTTGTTGCTTCAGCTGCGGCATTGGTAGCAACTGTATGTGCTGAGGCTGCAGAGTCTGCAGGCGCCCACAGAGCCCACATTGCATCCGCCATTAACTCTGGCCTGGCCACTCGAACTTCTGCTGATATGATGACACTCACTGCAACTGCTGCAACATGTAACGTATTACATCCAATCTTACTAGTTCAAGCTCTTCAGTTCAGATTGACATGAGCTTGACATGAGCTACAAGCAATAGAAGCCAAAACTTGGATTCACTCATCCATTCAATGCATCTCACTTCCCAGTGATAAAACCAGACTGAAGTGAGCGCTTTAAGTCTGAATTATGCCACAGATTTGAACAGTAGTAATTGAACTAGTTCAATATCTCGATTATTGTTCTAAGCTTGAAATCTGGTGCATCATGAACAGTAGGGCATTCACATGGACTGATAGAAATTTGTGTTTATGTGCATTAATTCTCCATGCATATACATTAAATAGAAGTAGTTGAATCCATAGAAGCACTCCATGCACGCAAGTATACGCCTAGTTTCTTTCATTTAACCAAGGTTTTGTTTTTTCCATAATTCGATCTCTTTGTAGTTGTTACAGTTGCTAACCTAGGTATTGACGCTACCAGGTCTAAGAGGAGCTGCAGCGCTTAAATCAAGAGCTACAGCTGATACATGCTTCTCAAGGGAGAAAGAAATGATTGCCCGAGGGACCCAACTATCGGTATGCACATCGTCTGGTGAGCAAGAGATCATTCGTGTTTCTGTGTATGTGTGTGTGTTTGAATGAGAGAGAGAGAGAGAGAGAGAGAGAGAGAGAGAAGATTCTTAGTTGTTGATAATTTTTATGGATTCCATGCAGGGCGTACACAATTTAGGTTAGTATGCATCTACATCAAGAACAATAAGCTCATCCTGAGACTGGGAAAGAAATGCCTAGGAGGATTTCTAACAACTTCTAAGGAGTGTAAGATCTCTTCACCTTTATAGCATGTTTATGTATGTAATTTGTGTCTCATAGAATGCAATTTACTGTAGAAAGGTGTCCTCTTTTAGATTAATTTATTATTAGATTTGTTTAGTTTTCTGCTCCGTCCAATGTTGTTCCTATTGTTCAACCCAACTCTACTTGGGTTTTCACACTCATTTACTTAATTTTCTCAGACAGGATTATCAATGTGATGGAAGAAAGAAAGGAAGTTCAAGGTTTCTACTGGCTAAGCCTTAATACCAGTGGAGGTAATATCAATCTGCTGTTCGAAGATGAGAAGCAATGTAATGTCTGGCAATCAACCACCTCGCACCTGTGGCATAACCAACAATGCCATTGGTGATCAATCCCATCAAAGAACGGGATCTGCCTTTCCACTGTTACATATAAATAACATAGATTTGATTTGCATTGGAGAAGCAGAGACCTCTCCTCACAGAATGTGAGCTATGAACTTATAGGAATAGAAGTGCATGTATGTAAGATATGAAGATGAAGACGTCTATGGCCATATATATGATCATAAAAAAGTACTCAACTGATTAAAACATTTGAGATTGAGAGGGCATACAGCCTGAAATTCCAATTATATATATATATATATATATATATATATAGTGTGTGTGTGTGTGTGACTAAATCAAGGTTAATTAGGCTCCATTTGCTGGATAAGCTTTTTCTTTCGAGTTTTGGAATATGGGAAACAAAAATAAGCCAAAAAGTGTTTTGAGGGTTTGGTAAGAGTTGCTTTTAGAAATACATATATCATACAGTTGGTCCTACCACCACAACCTCAGCTCAGTTTAATAATGGCAGAGTACGACCTCAGAATCACAATTGCCAATGATCATCAATGTCCAGCTTAAATGCCTCTCTGTCTCCTGTTTTCAGAAGAATGTATGGCCCATGGGCCATGGCACAAACAATACACGGATCACTAAAACCTTCACATTGGCCCAGCCCGGCCCAGCCAATGATCACCCCTACTAGTGGTCGGCCTGCTGGGAAGCCCTCAAGAAGAAGAGATTTTCCCCGACTTCATGATCTGTTCTTCATGTCTTTGAAAAGCAATGCTACATTGAAAATTGAATTGGGTGGATCAAAAGAGCCCTCTTGGGCATAGAAATAGGTCAGAGAAAGAGCCAATATGGGCTTGAAACGGTTGGTTTTTAAGGGCCATGATTTCATGAAGACAATTTCTATGGACCCTGCACCCATCTATGGGCCTGATTATGGGTTCCTTTGGTCTTCTCTTTTGTCCATTGCTACTTCAACTGTAAGATGTATTGGGGCAGTTTCAAATGATGTGGCCAACATTGAATGAAGACTGAAGAGGAGCAAGCGAGATGGCATAATTGAAATAGCACCACATTAAGATGATAAGCTACCTGCAAATTTGGTCTTGCACCATCTTGGGGAGGCTGAGTTTTCTTGATTTGCAGCAGCAACCATATAAGAGGAACTCAGAGTGATATAAACTGAAGATGGATCTCAATTGCCGATTGATTAGGGATGTCAATGGAGCAGGTTAACCATTGATATAATTTGAAAGATATCAGGGATTTTTCTTTTTTGGCTGAGGTTAAAATATAGGGAAGGTTTAAAAATTGTTTCTCTATGGAGCTAAACAACCGGGGGATCATCCCCAAATCCATAAAGCCTCCCAACCCTAGTGCAAACTAAATTTGATCCCAAGTCTTTCCTACAACCAACAGTAGACCTACCAACCAACCAATTGACACTTTGGCAAGGATGTTAAAACTAAATTAATAAAAATATCTATTTATAATTTATTGTTGTGTGCATAAAAGAAAATAAAAAACAGAAAGAAAATTTTGAATATCTTAACAATCCTTAGTACAAATATTGATATAAATAACAACTTTTCAAAAATTTATGAATACATTTTCAAATTCATATGAATAAAATTTTCAAAATTTATTAGTATGAATAATTTAATTTTCAATAAATTTTGAATTTATGAGTAATTAATTACTGAAAATATAAGCATTCCAGTAATTTAGATTTTTTTAAATTAACTTTCACAAAATTAAAATACCAAAAACATGAAAATTAGTTTACGGAAATCACTAAATTAAAAATTCCCAATAATACCAAAACGCAATGTAAGTTATGATAATTATAGAAATTATTAATTATTACCAGATATAAATTATCAATACTAAGAGTCCTCAATAACTTTTCAAATTAATAATTACCAAAAACCAAAGTAATTAATTATGGAAATTATTAAAAGTTTCCAATTTAATAATTTTCAAAAAATATTAAATTTTCAAAATAGTTATGGAAATTATAAATATAGTTAAAATTTCCCAATAAATTTCCAATTTAACATTTAACAATAGCCAAAAACCTATGTAAATGAAAACATCAATAAATAATTTTTATTACCAAAATTAAATTTCAAAATTAATAATTTTGTGAAATTACCTGAAAATTGCTGAAAATTAAATTTTTTAAATTTTAAAAATAAATAACTATCTTTAAATTACTAAAACTTTCATGTAATAATTATCAATTTAAAATAATACTAATATATAATTAATTTCATATAATAATAAATTAATATTTGAATATTCAATAATAATTGATATGAATAAATTAATTTTCAAACATTTATGTATTTTATGAATAATTAATTATTAAAAATCAAAACAAAGTGATGTTTTCAAATTGTTGTTGGCCATGATGATTGGACCATTCAACTCAGGAACTGTCCAAGTAATCAGTTCCATTTCACCCTCAACCCAAACGTTGGCCAAAAACCATTGATTTGGTCAATGACCCACTAACCCAGGCAATCAAACCATTGACCCGTTCAATGGTTTTTGGACATTTTATATTAATTATTTTTTAATTTTTTCAGTTAAAACGGGTTGTCCATTCAAACCAGATGGTTTAAGCATCGACCTAGAAACCAATGGACAGAACGGTTTCGATTTTGAGTCGGTTTTTAAAACCTTGGTTTAATGTTAGGGAAGTTTCCAACTTTGTTACAATGTTGAAATGGGAGGTAAGGTGACATGGCCAGAGGCTAAGAGCCAGATGACGTGGCAAAATGAGGGGCCTAGGTAGGATGAAGGTAAACCCATATTGGACTCAACTTTTGTGTTTATTTTTTCATTATTTTAAAATTAAATTTATATAGAGTTCATTTTTATTTTTATTAAATTTTAATTTATTTAGTAAACTGTTATTGAAGCATAATTTAAGTTATGATATTATGCTAAGTTTGTTATTGTTTAAAATTTTTATCTTGTTAGAATTTGTTATTATAAATTAAGTATTATATTACTGTAATTAATTTTAATAATTATTATTGTTAAAATTAAAAAAATAGTAATTTATTTTAAATTTTCTATTATGTTAATTACTTTTAAGTACTTAAAATTATTAAAGAATAATATAAAATTATTATAATTAATTATTAAATTTTCAATGGCGATATGAAAAATATTATGCATAATTATAATAATTTTAAATTATGAAATGTTATTAATTACTTTTATTATTTGTCTTATTGTATTATTTATTTTATTCTTATTAGTCTTTTAGATAATTTTTTACTCATTTTTTAGTGTTTTAGATAAAGAAAGAGAGATAGGGGGTTGGGAAAGAGGCATTGGAATTATGTTGTTTACTGTGAGATAGGTTGGGGCATGTTTTAGGAAGAATTTTTAGGTAGGGGAGATAGTTCAGGAGAACTTTTAGGAGAAGAGATGATTTAGTTGATTGGGAATGAGAGAGAGAGAGAGAGAGAGAGATTAGGAATAAGATAAGGGGATTATTGCCTACATTGTTTCCTTAATGGTTTAATGGACAATTAGGTGGAATTAAAAAATAAAAAATTCAAAAAAATAGGAAATTAGGAAGGGTGTTTGAAGCAAAGAGAGGCCCTTTGACATAGACCACCTTGCTTTATATATATAGAGTATATTCTTAATGATGACTATATTTACAATGTTTTTAAAGTTGCAATATCAGCTGGTCAGGTTTTTTCGTTAATCTCTCTCTCTCTCTCTATATATATATATATATATATTCAGTTATCAGTTAATTTTAAAAATTTGGACTCGACATATTATATTTTGTATTATTTTATATGTATTTGCAGTACTGTACATATTTGCATTTATATTCTTTCCAAACTCGGCCCAAATGAAGAAAACCTACTAATAGATTATTTCAATCAATCATTTTTCCCTTTCTAGTAATAACATTTATTACCTGCATCTTTGAGAACTTCAAAAGAATGCCTTACTAATGATGTACCAATAGGCCTTGCTCAGATGCATGCTAAATATAAATCGTATACAAGAATTGTATCAATTCCAGTACCACGCACCAATTATTGATAATGGTCTACCCCAAAGGTTAATGCTAAATAGGAAGCATTAATTATATATCATCTTAAGACATATATGAATGCATGAAACATCATGTCGGATATATCTGGATAACATATAGCATGGCACCTCTACATGTACATCTTACCTAAGAGTGTTCACCACACATTATGTGGGATTACAGAGAATATGAGACATTATAACTATGTTGTTCAACATATTAAAATTAAAGGGTAAACTACAAAGACCTACGAACTATGGGGTCAATGACAATTATCCCTTTGCCTCAATTCGAAAGGAGTACAAATATATAAATATGTACAGTGTAAATACATACAAAATATAAAGCTTTGCACTCTATAAATTTGCATTTATACTCCTTCCAAACTGAGTTTTATGAGCTTTCGTTTGTGACAAAGACTTCCTGAATTTTCACCTTGCAACAAATACCCCCTATACAAGGGTGTTGTATCATGTTACGTACTTCAATTTTTATTATAAAACTAGTATTGTAAATTTAGTACCACTGGATCCTATATTCAACCATGTTTATATTGTATCTAGTATATTTGGTACCCCTACATCTAGTACTTGCTTATCATTTTTTTTCTTTTTTAAATGTGCTTCTTACC